TACTAATTGGGACTTGGGACCCCACTGTCTGGAGGTGGGAAAAAAAAAGAGGGGGACTAAGAGGGCGTTTGTGAAGGATGAGAAACAGGGAGGACCGAGGTAGGGGAAGGTGGCAGGGACTGCTTGCTGCCTTGCAATATTCATGTTCCCTTCTTTCTTAGTAAGAGAATCAAATCCGGCTTTTACTCAGAAACAAAAGCACAAAACTAAAAGACTATATTTTTAACCCCCTTTCCCCCCACTGTGTGGCTTCGAGTATCCAGTGAGATGTATGTAGAATTGGTTGTATGGTGTTTCCATTAATGGGCTAATGCAGCAGGAATTGTACCCTTTCTACCTTTTCCCTTCCTCTCTTCTTCCTAGAACATAGACATGAAGGCTGGAGTTCCAGCAGCCATACTGTGACCATGAACTTCCTTGAGGAGTAAAGTCACATGCTAAGGATCATGAGTCAAAAGTACAGAAGGCCCCCACATCCTATCATACCACCTGTCCCACCAGTCTTGGACTGCCCACCTCTGGGATTCTTTTGTAAGAGAATACAGAAGCTTACTTTGTTTAAGGCATTCTATTCTGGTCTCCACTGGCAGGCCAAATCAATCACTATCTGACATAGGGAATAACAGCAGCCCCAAGATATTCATATGGCATCAGACCCAGCACATGATTTTTTTCTGCTGATCCAACAAAAGTTGAGATTTGAAAGTCACCCTCTAAGATCAAGCCCAGATGAAATGGTCCCCTTCCCTTTATTTCAAAGCTTACAAAAGATTCTCTCTTCCCCCACCTGCTTCCCTTCAATTAATTGGCTCTTCCTTCAGATAGTTATGTAGTTCTTATAGTTATATAGGTCTCCCTTATGCCCATCCTAGGGCCTGTCTCAAAATCCTTTACCATCAACTGGGCTAACACAGTGATACAGTTACATAAACTCCTTAACAGACCCTACACGTTGGGGTTTGAGCAGTGGTCAGCCTCACTCATGTCCAGGGGTAGTTCTGCCTGTGAGTTTGCACCCGTGAAAACCCCACATTCTACTGGGAAGAAAAATCCTGCATGTGTGTTGGTTGCTTAATGAGGTCTTTGGTGAGAATTGTAGCTTTAAATAAGGTGACCCCACTCTGGTTCCATTAAAGACTTGGCTTTACCACTGAAGCACAGGAACACCTTAATTAAGCCCTTTATGAGCCAGAACAGGACAAGCATGAATGGATCAAATGCTGACACCATCCCCAGGCAAATCAAAGGAGCCCAGTGTCCCCATTAGGCCCAAGGGGGAACAGGAGGAATATATTCAACTGGATAATCTACTTCTAAATAGAATATAACTCCCAGATTTTATGCTTTCTAGGAAATATGAGTACTTACAGTCTCGATTTTATTTCTGAAATCTATGATTAAGCAAAGGTACCCAGATGGAAAATTAAATTATACCATCTGACTGCTTTGGAGCCTTGGCAAAATGATTGCAATTTATTTCCTATCCCATCCTTGTGAATCAGGATTTATTAGGCTCTCGGTACTGCCTAATTTTGGTTTCCAAGCTTTTTTACATCACAGACACTTTGGCACTCACCATTCTCTTCCCCTCATTTTTGCCATTCCCGTAGTCAAAGATTAAGCAACTGGAATAACTATATGGACATAGTGATTAGTTTTTAAGAATTCCAAATGAATCGCCTTGTGCTCAGTCCTCCATGGACTTTTGTCACCACCAAAGCTTGGGGGAAGGGGGGACAAAATTAAATATACTCTGGGCCTCCCTCTCGGCCACGATGGTGCTTATCTTTCAGCTGCCAGAGTGACCAGTGGGTACATCAAACACCCACATAGCAATGCGGGGAGAGGGAAATGCTGTGTCTAAGGCTTAAGGAAGACACCAAGTTCCTTGATCGGTGAGGAAGGAAACAGATCAGAATAAGGCAGGGTTGTGGGGAAATTCTTTGTGCATGAAGAATTAGAGATAGTTCTTAAAGAATGGGTTGTGGGGGGGAATGGATAAGCAAAGAAAAATATAGAATACTTCAAAATTTGTCCCATATCCCCACTCTCGGAGTGGAGAAGTCCAGCTCTGACTCCTAGACTGAATGTTTGCAAAATCATCTGTCTCTCTCACCATTGTAAAAATCTTTCTAGAACTGGAGAATCGGGTAAGATGTTCTTCATTCAGTTTCAAAAATTATTTTTGATTCCTTGGAATTACACTTCTCAAGTGACTTTAAGGATTATATTTCAACTCCCTTGTCATACCAATTAAGGAACTTGATGGTCAGGAGATTACGTAAGATGTTCAAGGTTTCACAGCAAGTTGGGGACAGAGCAAGGACTTCTAAGTCAGGTCTTCCATTCCTATTCCAGGCTCTTCCCACTGCTAGTAGGATACTAGGCACATGGCCCTCCAAATGTCGGGCATTTGTCTGGGTCTGAATATCTTCAACAGTAGACTGTCCTCAGAAGTGCCGGAGGCCGAGTGAGAGGCATGGTCACGTTATCCAAGATGACTCTTTGCTTCTGGGGAAATGGCACGAACTAGAGTACGCACACTGAGCTCCATATGTCCCACAATTGTGACATCTTCCCCTGTGACACCTCTTGTAGCTGTGACACCTGGAAATCATGACATGTGTCCCGTATGCTTCAAGCCTGAGTCAGGAGTGCCTTCTTAGGGACTTGTCCTGAGCCGCTTGCCACATGTGTATCACGGCTAATAAAAGCCACTATGTGCCATGTAACCCAGGATCCCCCTTTCAGAGGCAGGAGGCAGCCCTGTGTAGACACCAGTCCTTCACACACTTGGGGACTTGGGCATTGTGGGCATGACATCTAGAATGCCAGCTGTGCTCCAAGGGCAAGAGTCCTCTCAACTGAGACCACACCATTTGTTAAAATACCCCACCCTAAGCTGACATCGAACTGTCTTAGTCATGCCTATTCTTTTTTTTTCTTTTTCACCATAACTATTTTCAAACACTTTATTGTATGTTCTTCAAAGCACCATCTTCTGGCTGAAATAATTAATAGGGAGTCCCTAATGTCTTCCTGCACTCAGCTTTGTGAAAAGAGCATTGTAGCATTTGAGTATTTAAAGTATGTTGGGTTTTTGAATGAATCCAAATAGGTAACCAGTTTGGCCACTGACACCAGTGATCATTTTCAACGTCTCTCTGGGAAGAGTGACCTGTGAGACTACATCTCCCTTTGGTAAGAATTGGGAATTTCTAGAAAGTTCTTTTTGCTGGAATCCCTGGCTGCCGTCACAGCTGAGTTTAATTAAGTGCGAAAGGATCACCTCTACCAAGAAATGGGTTGCATGACGGAAAAATTACTTCGGTTCCGCCTTTACTCTGTAAACTCCAGCAAGTACTTAATCTCAGGGTCTCAGTTCCTGGTTTGAAAAGTGGAAATAATACCTTCTGCAAACAATAATGAATTGAAGTCTCTGGTGGAACTCCTGGGTCATAACAAATGCTCACAAATAGCCACACTGACATTTTAGGAGAAAGATAGACTTTTAAGCTCTTTACTCAACCACATGGAAAGGCAATCCAATGTCTCATTGTGCTTAAAGGCTATATTCGCTGTGCTCAGCACACAAATCTTGAACAGCTTCATTCATGTTCAATGGCTGCCCACAATGACTGTTTTCCATGGAGCCCTTTATAAGGACATCAGAGATCTCTTCTAGGGAAGGTCAATCAATGGCAGTTAGGGTAGCCTCTCCATCCCATATCCATTTGTCACAATAAAGATTACCACAACCAATGGTCAGCACATATGAGACTGAAAGAAGTCAAGAGCTTTCTTTGGAAACAGGCCTCTGGACATTAAGTTTCCTGGAACAAAGCTTAAGGAAGAGTCTTTCTTAGCAGCCTGGTTGGCATGAGTTTCATCTTTCTTTAACCAAACATGACTATGCCACCTTTGTATTGTCAGAAAACCCAGAAGCAATGTGTCTAAGCACCTGGATATTTGGTCTTCTCCTGGGGCAGGGGGGTTCTGGCTCCTAAAGACTTGTTGGAAGACTCCATGGTATTCCTGAATCTTAGCAACTAACTTCATCTTCAGAAATTGGAACTTGGATGTTGAATGAATTAGGTTCTTCCTATCAGAAAGAAGCCAGAATACCTGGATATCCAACAGAAGTTGCCAGAACATCTCAAAAGATGTTCTAAAAACCACAATATTGAAAGTATACGTTATAGCTCCTGGGGGTGGAAGATGACTTAAGAGGGAGCTCCAGGGAACAAATAAGAGATTTAAGACACTGGACCCTGAGAGGAAAAGAAAGAGAAAGGGCTATTTTCTGCAAAAAAATTAAAAAATCAGGGACATACAACACTCCGACACCATCTCACCCAGCTATGCCATGGGCCCGGGAACTAGAATATTGCCCTCAGATTGAATGAGTCGGAGCTAAAACAAACCTCTCACCAGTGAAGAAGTTATTTCTAAGACGACTTGGGGAAACTCTTAAAATACCAGCCAAATCCATTATAATTGCCCCTCTTTTAAACATTGCAAACAAAACAAAACAAAACAAAACTTAACTACTTATAGCATACATATCTCCAATTATGATGTTTCATTCCAAAAATAAAAACTCAGAAAACAGTGTGTGTTTTAACAATGAAGAATTCCTGAAAATTCTCAAATGTTTATCCAAAGGGTTGCCATTATTTTTTTTTAACAAACTGAGTCCAGAACCCACTGGAAATCCCTAATAGTGCTCAGAAAATTGTCCTTCTATAAAGTAAGCCATTGTTCAAAACACGTGGTTTTGTGTGTAGCACTTCATGGACAAGGCTCAACAAATAGGGGCAAGAATATCTCTTCCACATTCCATGCCCACCCTTGTGAGTGCTCTGCAAACAAAACCCCTCCACTGGGCTTACATCAGCTCACCCCCACTCACCCTCACAACCCAAGGACTATAACCTTCTCCACACAGAGTAAAAAAAAAAGCGAACCCCGGAGTCTGTGAGAACCCCAACTTTACTCACTTGTCTTCTGAAAAACTTCCTCCAGTAACAACATTCTTCCCTTGGGGTACATAGTTCCAGTATTCTTCCACAATCCCAATGTGGTATGTTCTGGTAACTGCGCCAACCAGCCCAGACAGACCCAGGAATGTGAAGAGAACGATGCAGTCAGCCTGCTGCTTCCGAGGCATTTGTGGATGTAATTCAGGCAAACAGCCTGAGCAGGAGGCAACCCTGCCTGTCCCTCCCCCTCACTGGAGGCTAATTATAAATAAGGAATGAACAAGACCCGGCTCCTCCTTCTTAGGTAGCTTGGGGTTGGGACAGAGGCTGATAACTTGTGTAAGCAGAGCAAACGATGGGGGCAGTTGCTATGACGACGAAACTTCTGCCAGCCATCCAAGAGAAGGTGTAACTGGCTTATTCATTTTCTATCCAAGCCAAGCAGGCCTGTTTCTGTAAGTTTTGGTGCTCTGCTGTGACATTAATCATTCATCTTTCCCAGGAATGGCAGTGCCACAAGTTGGGCCAATGGGTTTCCTCCCTTCTTCCTCATTTTTTCCTCCACACCTACTACAGGAACATATTAAAATCTGAAAACCGGGCTGGCTGGAGTAGGGCATCAGGAAAGTTCTTGCATGCTAAGGAAGGCTTCATCTCTGCTGGGAAGGCAGGGGGAGTGAGGTAATCACCCTCCGCCATCTCTGACTTGTTTTATGAGGCTACATGAAACAATCAACTCACATCATAAAGTTTGTAACAACATTGTAAAACCTCGCTAATTCTCCATTTGCTCATGCACCATCTCCCCCAAAGTCTCTCAAATCCTACCAGCAAAAATGAGGAGCTCGGTCACCCAGTTTAGCCAAAATTTAGAGGTCATCACCCTCAGTGAGTTACCTTTGTAAGAAAGAATGACAATGACATGGGAGGAGTACCCTTCCGGCACATGAAGATAAAACTTAGTAGGTCTTTGAGTCTAAAAGGCAAAAGAAGTGCCCGTTCTTCTCTGTGCTCTAATCTGTGACCTAGAATCTCAGTGTTGACAGAGACCTTGTCCGACCGTGGACAAGAGCCAATCTGATAGCCATTGAGAGTTGCTCTTGAGGCAGCAGCCACAGAGTAAGGAGAGAGCCTCCTGGCTTGGCTTTGAGCTTGGACAGGCCTATGTTTGAATCCAGTCCCACCACTTGCTATTTTAGTGGCATTGAAGAACCACTCACCCTCTCTAAGCCCACATCTGTAAAACAGGGTTGGAGGTATTGTTAAGATTTAAAGGATCACACAGGAACAAATACAGGTGACCTTGGGTTTGATGATGACTTTTTCAATATAACACCAAAGACATAATCCATGAAAGAAATAGCTGCAAAGCTGAATTCAAAAAATTAAGAATTCCTGCTCTAAGAAAGATGCTGTCAACTGAATGAGAACAGAAACTACAGACTGGGAAATATTTTTGCAAAAGACATATCTGATGAAGGATCTAAAACATATGTTATCCAAAACATACAAAGAAATTTTAAAACTCAATAATAAGAAAACAAACATCCTGATTAAAAAATGGGCAAAAGATCTCAATAGACATCTCTTCAAGAAGACATACAGGTGGAAAATAAGCACATGAAAAGATGCTCTACATCATATGTCATCAGGGAAATGTAAATTAAAATAATGAGATACCACTACACAATGGCCAAAGTCTGGAACGCTGACTACACCAAATGCTGACTGTGAAGCAACAGGAACTCTCATTCATTGCTGGTGGGGATGTAAAACGACATAGCCATTCCGAAAAGATAGTTTGGCAGTGCAAATGGAACATTCTCCAGAACTGATTACAGGTTAGGCTGCAAAACAAATCTCAATAAATTCAAAAAGATTTTTTTAAACCTAAACATATGGCACACATTACATATATTGCAATTTTATTTGTCAATTATACCTCAACAAAACTAAAAAAAAAGAATACTCTTACCATATGATACAGCAATTATGCTCTTAGGTATTTACCTAAAGGACTTGAAAACTTACATACAGACAAAAACCTGCATGTGAATGTTAAACTTTGAAGCAACCAAAATGTCCTGTAAATAAACTATGTTCAGCGAGTGAATAGTAGTTGGGTGAGTAAATAAAGTATGGTACAATGAAACAATGGGATACTGTTTAGCATTAAAAGGCAATGAACTAGCAATCAAGGAAAAGATATGGAGGAAATTTAAATGCGTAGCACTTAATGAAAGAAGCCAATCTGAAAATGTTCTATGATTCCAACAAGATGAATTGCTGGAAAAGACAAAGCTGTGGGGATTAAAAAAAAAAGATCAGGGGTTATGAGGGGTTAGTGAGGAGACAGGGGTGAACAGGCAGAGCACAGAGGATTTTTAGGGCAGTGAAACTACTCCGTATGACATATACATATACATCACACAGAAAGAACAAATGAAATGATGCATGTCTACTATTATAGTATGTGTATAGTATGTATACAGTATATATATGATGTATCAGATATATCATATATCATAGTATATGATACATATATATGTACATACATATATATATGTAATATATATCCTGTAATAGTAAATACGCATCATTTCCTTTGTTCAAAGCTATAGAAGGTACAACACTGACAGTGAACACTAATGCAAACTATGGACTTTGGGTGATGATAGATCAGTGTAGGCTCATCAGTTGTAACAACTATACCACAATAGTGGGGGGTGTTGTTGATGGGGAAGGCTAAGCATGTGTTGGGGCGGGAGACATGTAGGAAAATTCCATACCTCCTGCTCAATATTGCCTACAACCATTCTAGACAATGAAGTCTATGTTAAAAAAAGATTTAAAAAGATGTCTGCAAAGTGCCTACCATGGCCCCCAGCACAGCATAGGTGAGCAATAAATGTTAAATTTGTTCTTCACAGGGCACCTGCATGGCTCAGTTGTTAAGCGGTTGCCTTCGGCTTGGGTCATGATCCCAGGTTCCTGGGATGGAGCCCCGCATCGGGCTCTCTGCTCAGCAGGAAGCCTGCTTCTTCCTCTCCCACTCCCCCTGCTTGTGTTCTCTCTCTCTCACTGTTTCTCTGTATCTATGTGTGTCAAATAAATAAAATCTTTAAAAAAAAAGTTCTTCCCCACTCACACCCTCTAAGAGAGACTCCCACAGTCTCTGTGATGGACACCGGCATTTCCAACCTTCTGCTCTCTTTCCCAAAGTCCCAACCAGACTCTCACCAGCTTCAAGTAAAAGAGTTCTTTTCCTTTACATTACACTTTATAGATGTGCTATAGCATGCGTTTTGAATTATCATCCATCTTAGCTAATAAAATACATGCTGAGTATTCCATTTCACAACCCGGCTCTTCACATCTTTGATTTATTGATTTGTCTTTATGTCAAGACACTTATAAGTAATTACCATAGCACATTTCCCTTTAACTAAGATCTACTCTTCAGTATTGGTTTTGAAAGCGCTTTGTGTGAGCTTGTCACTTGAACAGCTACTACAGAGGAAGGACTCACAAGGTGAACCTGAACTTGGCCTCAAAAGAAGCAGGGCTTCAGGAGTTCTTGGAATCTGGATGTCTCGGGCCAAATGGCTTTGTGTCTGTACCCTGGAGAAGCAGATTATTTTAAGTCAAACAGGCTCAGTATAGTACGAAAAACTTCATTAGGATATATTCCACCCCAATTTTTTTAGACAAAAGAAAGGGATGTAAAAACAGTACAGATCAAAAACGCAGAAGAGTTAACTTTCGTACCTGGGATACTGAATGCGTGTGATTGAGTCCCTGAGGAAGGCATCCCCCAACTTCTGATTCGAACCAAGGTTTATGAAAGGATAGAAGAGGCATGGATAGCCAGAGTTGCTAGAAGAGATCAGTGCATTCAACCTGTCTCAAGCCAAGAGTGTAGTTACTGAGGGGCAAAAGAGTCAAGGAAAGAGTTTATTGGAAGCCATGAAATAGTGTCTGGAAAACACTCTGAAATTCTTCCTTACCCTCGGACAATACAGATGGTCAGAAAACATCCAAATTACATGAGAGCTAAACAGAAGGAAAGGGAAGGAGAGGAGAAGGGAGGGGAGGGAAAGGGAAAGAAAGGGAAAAAAGGGAAAAGGAAAGGAGAAGAGAAGACAAGAGAAAAGAAAGAATAGAAAAGAAAAGAAACAAAACTGGTGTAAGTGATTGCAGTGTTCCTGTAACACCCATTTTTGAGAGTAAAATACAAGATGTGATCAACAATACCTACCATTCAACTCAGAAACCTGCGAGTGATAATGTTAACGAATATGTTTAGCTCCTTTGGATGCAATTCAGACATAAATAAAGCAGAGGAACCCAGCATTTCTAGAGCACCTACTGTGTGAGATCGCCAGTCCCTTATTTCCTCAATACACTCCTCAGGTTGGAGATATGGTAACTTTGAGGCCATGCATTGATAGAAGAGAAAGATAACCTTGGATCAAACCATATTTCACTGAAACGTAGCACAGGGTAATCAAACAACAAAACTTTTTGTGGGACACACCAGTATAGAGAAATAGTATTCTAGCTAGCATTAGCTGAGGCGTCATTTTCAATAATACAGTGTGAATGACGAAGTTGGCTATCCCATTCTGCAGACTTTTGCATGTTTTTAGAGATACAGTAAATATTCCTTAAATGATTCTTCATATCCTAGACTCTGATTGAAAGTTCCCATCAGTTTGGTCCTCTTACTGCTACAGTAGATGGCTCTTGGGCCTCATTAGGACCCTCAGTTCCTTGATTGTATCTCATTCTTTCTCACTTAGAATTCTACAGCTTCCTAACTAGTCTACCTGGGGCCAGAGTGACCTTCCCGAATGCAGAGGTCCCTCCACTGCTTCTGATTTTCAGTTGCTCCCGTGACCTTCAGGATAAGGCTGACATCTTTGACTTGAGTTTCGAGGCTGGTCTTGATCTGACTCCAGGGCACTGGGCCATCTCCTCAACATTTCACCCACTATCTGATGACGATTGTCATCATCATGGCAACCAGAGTGCCCTTCATTGGTGCTCCCGTCAACACTCTGTGTGCGCCTTCACCACAGCACCCATCACACTTGTGGTAATCACCTGTTTACTTTCCTGTACTCCCACACAAATACTCAGCACAGGCTTCTTATGGGCAGGGACTGGGCCTTGTCCATACCTGTGTTCCCCATGTCTGATGTTAAATGGTGAAC